TAGATAGCGGCTAAGCAATAACGGAGATTCATGGAAGACGTGTAATGTTGTTTTCGCTTAGTAGAAGGGAATATGTATGTTATCTCACAAGCAATATAGATGTCTGTCATCATAACAAAGGGGGCTTTAATAACTTTGCCACCGTTGGTCTTCGTCGTCGTCGTCTGTAGTCAATCCCGCTGGTGCTCAATCTCCCTTTCTCATCAGTACTATAACCGCTGGGTTGCCTTTGGAAGCATGATTGTTGGCGGCAAAGGAGTGAACCGTCACTGCCGCAACAATCAACAGGAACAGGACGCACATTGGGAGCGCCAACTTGTGCACCAAGAATCGACGCTGAAATACCTTTGTCTCCTGAAGTTCTACGTTGCGACTTCCCAAGTCTCTCACCAAACTCTCCAACTCACTGTTTTCGTTGTCAAAAGCTTCCAAAAAGCTTCCACTCAGAGAGATCAACTCAGCGTCGCCCAAAGGAGTTTCTTGAGCGGTTTCAACTGGCATGGTCAAGGAAAGATGAGGGGAACCAAACCGGGTATCGCTCGGTTCCATTGAGTGCCCGTTGATATTTGGAAAACTCATGGCTAAGATTGATTCTGATGAATGGTTGATGCAGATAGGTTTCAGGTACATGTACCAGTACATGCATGCACAAGTAAAAGTGCGGCAAAGGGCAAATTTGTGGCAGATGGAGGCTTCGAGAGCAAGTCAAAACGTGGTCGAAACAATTCCCGTGGGGAAACTGGAAGATTTAAGGAGGACTCCCGAGGTTTTAAGGTTTCGCCATTAGGGTTAGTCTAAGCCTTACGGGGTACGGCTGTACCAGGACGCTTGGAAATCTGGACTCAAGGTGGAACAAAGCCCTTTGGAGGCCGTCGTTTGGTGGCCACAACCAACCCAGTTCTACCTGTACCGAAAGTACCTGGTACCATACGCTGTAGTTGGCAGTTCTAGCTAGACTCTGGGGTTTGTCTGGCATTGCACGCACTGGATTGGCCTGGTTCGATTTCTTTTTGAGCGCAATTTGCCTCGGAATTACCGTACAGAGATGGAAATGACATTCTCGGTTTCTGCGTAACACTCTGCTGAGAATGCAGCAATCGTTTTGCTCTTGGTTTCAATGCAAAGACCCGCCCGCAGGTGTGATAAACGTGCAGCGACCTGGGCACGCACTCTTTGCTGGACCAATTCCCTATCATCCTCTGCTTTCCGCGGGCTTGGTTTTGTAATGGAGCTAAGGTAGCTATGATCTCTATAGAAGCAAGTTCATTGCTACTAGTAGCTTGCATTTTGCCTGTTGTTTTGCTCACAAAAAACGGAACAAAAGATACGCTTGCGCACAACATATTTACACTGCAAACAACACGGCAACAAATTGTTGAAGAACCGCTTCTTTCTCACTTTTTGGATTCTATTCTGTTTGTGCAATCCACAAACCACAAACAACTTCTCTGTTGCTTCATACCTTCGCTCTCTTTTTGTTGTACAAGCCACTCCATAAAACTCTCCTTCGAAGATACGCCAACTACGCAGATGCCGACCAACATGTCTTCCAAGAGTTTATCCCTCGAAATGTCTAAGCAAAATCCCACCTCCATCTCCATCCAACCTCAAGACTTTGTTCGTCACCACAACAGCAAAGATAGCACCGGCGCTGGTGTCTTTGACACCTACTCTGTTGGAAGGTGTCTCGGGAGCGGCGGATATGGTTCTGTTTACAGCTGTAGGCACAACCAAACTGGAGTGGAGCGGGCCATGAAAGTCATGACAAAGAATCGATCTGGTTCCTCTTCGAGTGTTAATGGTGACAATGCCGATATCTCTGGCAGGATTGCCAGCAACCCCAAAGTGGATTTGTCGGCGTCACAGGACAAGCCTTGTGGCAAGAAGAAGCAACAGCAGAAGCAGCAGCAACAGCAAGGCAGAGAAATCCGGGAATTCCATGCCGCCAAGAAGATGGATCATCCCAACTGTGTGTCTGTCTATGAGTGCTTTGAAGATTCACGCAATGTCTACATTGTCATGGACCTCTTCGAAGGGGGCGACATGCTCAGTGCCTTGACGTCTAATCTGGGTTGCTTGATGGAAGCCAATGCTGCTCTTCTTGTTAACTCTATCTTGTCCACTGTCAACTACTGTCACACCCACCTGAATATGGTTCACCTGGACTTGAAGCTCGAAAATGTGATGTTTGAAACTGACTCCTACAAGTTCAAGGATGCCAAGATTATCGACTGGGGATTGGCCAAACCGGTTGCGATTGACGCCAACGGCAATCTAATCCGTTTTCGACAGGTTGTTGGTAGCACATCTTACATGTGTCCTGAGGTTTTCCAGGCTTCCTATGATCCATACAAACAAGATATTTGGAGTATTGGAGTCATGACCTTCATTATGATGTCCGGATACCCACCTTTTAATGGTAGCACGGAGCATGAGGTCATGACCGGTGTCTTGATGCACAGCGAGCAGACCATGGAACAGGCCATGTCTGCCTCGCCTGTCTGGTCTACTGTCTCGGACGAGGCCAAAGATTTCATCATGAGTCTCATGGCCTTTGACGAAAAGGACAGACCTACAGCTGCTCAGGCTCTACAGCACCCCTGGCTACAAGGGATCCGTGCCAACGCTAGCATGGCTCAGGACTTGGCATTTCAACAGGATCCCATGTACCGCAAAGCCTTGCAGTCCGTATTTGGAAGCCTTGTGCGTTCCTCCGTCGTAGCCAAACGAGCAAGGGAGAATGGTAGTAGTAGTAGTACTCTGATCTGGAGAAAGATCACCGCCGCATTGCTCGTGTCGCAGTATGGTATAATGGGAGCGACAAGGGAAGTGTTGGACGATTGCTTTCGAGCCGTGGATACCAACTTGGACGGTGTGCTGACACAGGATGGCTTCCACCGAGGTCTCGAACGCTTCTACCCACATGTCCTGTCGCGAGAGAGTGGCCAGGATCTAGAAGATAGCCTCTGGAAGAACATGACGCAAGGAAAGGGCACTTTGACCTACACTGACTTTGTGATGGTGGCATCGACGGACTATCTCTTGAAGGACGAGAACCGGCTCTGGTTTGCTTTCTGCGTCTTGAGCCAAGGCGGTGACTTGATCACACCTGATAGTCTGCAGACGGCTCTAAACCAACAGGGTACGACGCGTAATGTGATCTGCCAAGAAGGATTGACAGGCCAATCCAGTGTGAGTTTTGACGATTTCAAAGCTCTCATTGCGGGCACCTCGGTGAGTGGTGTTACCGGTACCCAGAAAACGAGTGTTGACCAGCCGGAGGCAACGCCCACGAATTGCATGAAAGCCTGCTTTTCATGGATCGAGCAGTACATTCGGGACGCAAAACGCAAGCGCGAGGACACTGCAGAACAACAAGCAGAAGAGACCCCGTTGGTGCCACCCTTGACACCGCCCCAAAAGAAACCCCGTAACTCGTGAACACACATTGGTGCCGTCCTGTGTGTATGCATAGCGGATTCGATCGATTCGTCAGCGCCACAGCCAAACCAGGCGACACAGCACTTGTTGGAGAGGGACATTGATAGTTCATTGCATGATTTCATCTTTAAAGAAAAGACATAATCTGATTACGTCCTTCCACTGCGACTAAACCATGAACCACTTGCTTCCTACAAATGGAAGACTTCGTTCTCGGGCTCAAAGATGTTAGAGAAAAGTCCTGCAGTGTTGGTGTACTGAGAGGTTGCCATGTACACTACGTACTAGTACTGGAAAGCTTGGAATTGCTGGTAGTTTGTCATTGGAAGTTGTGACTCGACTCGTGCATTCATCCATCCTTTCGAGGAGAAAGGAACAGCAGAACAACGTTAATTACAGCTTCCACTGGCTTCTATTTGTACCGGTCGGTTGACGTTTCCTGGACCGTTACAGGAACTATAGAAAAGTTGGGTCATAGTAGTCAGAATCTCCACTTCCTTTTTAATTCGGGGGTTTAAGTATCCTATTATTCATAAATCAGGTTTCCCTTGTTGTTAAACATTTGAAGCTTTGGGGGCAAGGACTTCCACCACTCTGGTCATTTGACATGCAACATGCAGTCATTGCTGGTGTTCTGGTCGCCCGTTGCCACGCAGCACGCAGCACAAGCAATCGCGACCTCCAGCGATCCCCGAAACAGCCCGAATAAAACTGGTAATACATGCAGTAACAACGCTGCCACTTCTCCCAAAGATAGAGCACCATCCGACCACTGCTGGTCCTATTGTACTGCTTGTGTGACCGAGAGCCGTTTGACCTTGCACCTCGCATTGCAATAGTCGTTATCATCCTCTGGACGGTAGCATTTGGCATTATCCTCTCTGTCTTGATCCTATCCTTGTACCGAGTTAACTGTTCTTTAGAATGGTGTTGGTCTCAGCGACTCCATTATCCCCTCCAGACAGCCACCTGGATTGTAGTGTCTCTGTTGATGCAATGGAGCATGCCGAGGCCAGTGAAGCAGGCGGTTCCATGGCGGATTTTGATGAAATTTTAATGGAGGCGGGGTATACCCAAGCGGATGCTGCGAATGTTGCCAGCACTAGCAGATTAGCGGCGTCTCAGAGCTCTTTGGCGAAACGACCGAGAATCTCTTCCTGTTGCTCTGGGTCATCGGTATCGGATGGATCCTTCCTGACCGCCACGCAGCAACAACAAGATCAAGAATTATCCTCTGCCTCCTTTTCATCTTCCAGCAGTGACGATCAAGACAGTGACTGCGAACAACAGCATCATCACCACCGTGATAGTAGTAGTAGTAGTAGTGATCTGGAAGCCCAATTGGCCACACCCGCCCCGGAACATGTCTGTGGTGGCCACCAGTGCTGTCCCGAGAATTTCGAGAACGAATACGATGAAGACGACAACAACAACAACAATGACCTCAAACTCCCCGCAGCGCAGGCGTCTCTTGAACAACCTGCCGCTGTACCAGATAATTATCATCATCATCTTCATCGCACGATGGGACGCAGCAAGGATCATCACACCAACGTTCCCATCATCCCCTTGACTTCTCTCCAATTGCTGGAAGAAAAAAAGCAAATTGCCATTATCGAAGAACAAGAACAACCAGACACTATGGAGGATGCCTTGACCACTTCCACTACGGGCAATGACCAAGAGTCGGTCGCTTCCGCACAATCCCTCGTCTCGGTCGTGGCCGAACTGGTCGCTTATCCCATCAAGGTATTCGCCGCCGTCATGGCCGATTTGAACACGGAACTCATTGCCAGTATGGGGACCCATAATATTCCCTCTCGAGCTGAATTCATCAGTGCCACCATTTTACTCAAAGAGGCTGCCGAAACTTACGACGAATTGGGATTGACATTGGAACGCCAACTCAATCGCACCAGTGGCAACCAAGTACTCGTCGTGGCCGAAATTGATCCCGAAGGCCACTGGCGGGGATCACCACTTCGAGTGGGTGACCGCATCATCTCCATCAATCACACCAATGTCAGTCAATGGGAGGTGGAGGAACTTCACTCGTTCTGGAAGAATCTACTGTTGGATAACAATGGCGGTGGAAATAATAATATCTGTAGCAGTGCCAGCACGGGCAGTACCACGTCGGTGGAAACCATCACCTTGGTGGCACACAATCCCACTGGAGAAGGACAATGGGTTGCCGCCATGGTTACCAAACCGGGTCCATCGATACGCACCGGATTGGGAATGCGATCCAGTCGACCGGGACGGGTCAAGATTTCCCGGGTCGGGGGACTCTTTAGTGATTCCCTCTTGAATCCGGGAGATCAAATTCTATCGATCAATGGATTGGGCGTTCACGGATACAACAGTGCCGACACGGCCAATGAAATTTTGCAGAGCCCCAAGTACGTGACGGTTCTCGCCAAGGCCGATTCGCGAGGGGCTTTTGTCATTGCCACCACGGATCGAGAAGCCAGTACCCGATCGTTGTTGTTGGCGGCCGAGCAAGAAGAGTCGGTCGATGAAGAATTTGCCAATGAAGACGATGAATATGATGAGGAAGCAGCACGACGACAAGAGCGAAGAATCAAAGAACGTTGCGACAATTGCGGATGTTTGCGAGGACATTGGACGACTCTCCGGACGCTCCATTGGGCCGGAACCATTTACGTCCTTTTCCTCACGGCACTGGGTATCTACGTTTGTGTGGACAATCAATTGAATTTGAGCATGGTCATGGCCGTCATGGTCATGTCGGTGGTCCTGTTGAACATGGTGTTCATGACCACGCGAAGCATGAAACGAAGACAAATGGACCCCTACGGGAGTTTGCATCCCAGTCGATATTCCATATACCAATTATCCAGCAATATCATCTTGCTCGCTGCATTTTCCTTTTTGTTGATCATGTGGCGGAGTTTGGGATACACGGCCGTCACGTCAGAATTTATTTTGGCGGTGGTGATCCTGGTCCTCGCACCCATGTTGGTGTTCGTCAACATGCCTTCGTGTTGTGTGCTTCCGCCAGAATTCCCACTGGCGCCGGCGGCCGAAGAAGAGCCTCGAGAGGCAAGCCAACAAGACGACGACGAAGAAGAAGAGGATTATTTCGAAGACGAGAGCGGTGACGAGGTACCGTTAGCTGAACCGGAAGCAGTTGCATCTTTGGAAGCAACACCGTAGGAAAATATGCACTCGACAGTCAGTGTCTGTACATGTATTATGACTACAACAACAAGCATTCGACGCCAATCCATTGAAGAAACCACCCAGCCCCCTCCCAAGGATTCGATTTCCCTTTCCCGTTCTCTTGGCTGAGCTAGGATTTGGCGTCTCAACAACAGACGACAAGCACTTTTGTATTTTGCATGCTTATATAAAAATTCTAGATTTTTTTACATTTTTTAATGATACCTGCCAGCGCACGACGCATTGCAGGTGCCGTGGGCCACGAAGCTCAAAAGCAGTCTCATCTTGGCTCCGTCCCACTTTCCATCAATTGTTACCCCGCAGCTCTCCCGCTGCAGCCGCCTGCGATCGTTTCATTCTGGCGACGACAACACACAACCATCACTTGGCTTTCTGAATCAACGCTGTGTTTTCTCCATGGCAACGGCGGCGAGTCCGAAGGGAAGCCTTGGAGGGAGCAACCTTGGATTCAGGGGCTGGTGCATGCTCTGGACCAGCAATCTTATCTCCAACCGTTTACGAACCCAGGAGTCCTCCTCGCACACTGTTCGCTTGTGCCTTTCCCCGCGAGCAAAATGTGCGGGTTTCCAGGAACGGTCGGTGTAATTATTCATGACTATTAAAACTACCGATACAATAGAGACGGATTCTTCGACAAGAAATAATGTGTCACCCTCACATCGTCGCGACCCTCCACAATGGCATTGATCCAATCTGCTTGCGTCGCTTGGTCACTCTTCAGCAAGTGATGCCGTCCCAGTCTGTTCAAGCGCAAATAGAATTGAACAGAAGGGCTCCCAGGCAAGTTCATTTCCCGCAGCACCGTGTTTTCTCGGATCATCTTGCGAAACGTATACTTGGCCAGTATTTCCGCCCAGCCGCCCTGGGAGGGCGCACCGTCTTGAAATAAAAACTGGAGTCTCTCCAGACTTCGATTCCGCCGGAGGGCCCGGACCAAAGGGGTGAGTGATCCCCATCTGTAAACGGCCAGTTCCATGCTTTTGATATTGGGTCTCTCGGCCAGCATCTTCGCCACAGTCCTCAGATGGATCCGTTCCTCGCGTTCTCGGAAAAAGCGGCGCATCTCGCCCATCCACACGGTCGACGCGGGCAACAAGTAATCCAGCTTGATGGACTGGGTGTGGATTGAGCTGGACAGTATGATCTGAGCCATGCGTTTCTCGTCGCCGGGGGAAACTTGTTCCAGAACGACAGACTCCAAGTGATTTAGCTGCTTTAACGCAGAATTGAGCTCTTCAAAATCTCCATCGTCCCCTACAATCTCTATATGAGACATTTCCAAATGTATCAGTGTGTTCCGTGTTTGTTGAAACATCCGAGCCAAGGGACGGACCGGTACTGCGAAGGGTAGTCCGTGGATTGTAATGTGGGTGAATGCCGCAAAGTTACCCAAGTGCGCCAGCAACTGCACCACCAGCCGGGCTTCCTGCGAGTCTTCTTCGTGATCTTCTGACAAGTCCATATCTTCGTCCTTGATAATCTTGTAGAGCGAGCTGTGAAGGATCATACGACTGACACGTTTGGTTCTGGATAGCTTTTGTACCCACCGCACGTCGTGTTCCAAACCCAGTGGATGCAAGTCCAAATCCAAAGTGTCGGTGTTGTCTTCTTCTTCTTCTTCCAGTGGGATTGCTATGGCGGTTTCTTCGGCCATGCTTCTTAAGCTTTCTTCCACCAAGGCGGTCTCTTCTAAAACGATGGAATGTTCCGATGTATCCATTATGGTTGTTTCTTTTCTTTTTGTGGTCCTAAAGATGGATGAAGTGACAAGAGCATGGACTCGACTCGACTCGACTCGGAAGGGACCGGCTCCGACGGAGCATCAATATCCACGTTTGGAAGTTTTCCGCAAAGAGCCTTCACTCGAGACTGAGATGAGGCTCACTCGAGACTGAGACGAGGCTCACTCGAGACTGAGACGAGGCTCACTCGAGACTGAGACGAGGCTCACTCGAGACAGCTCTCGAGACTGGAAGGACAGTGGCTGGGGGGTCTGGGCTGCTTTAAAGCTTGAAATGAAATAGATGACTATTTTTGACCAGGGAGAATGTTTGAATGTTCCGTGGGCTGTGGTCTTTTGTTTCTCCGGTGTTTTTCGTTAAAAGACAAAATTAGCAGAATTTTCTGCTGCATCAAAAAGACAATTAGGCAGTTTTGGTTGTTAAACCACGTTTATGAGTCAGTGAGGCAAAAAGGCTGTTTTGAGCAGTCATTGTTCTTGCCGCGTCAAACAACCGAAGCGCACTCCACACAAGCCTGCGAGAACAACCATTCTGACCTTCTTTGTAAAAGTTTGCGAGGTACGTAACCCACAAAGAAGGAAGAAGCGTGCAGCCAGCTTGGATGCACAAGAGCCGCAATACGACAAGATCGCTTCCTTTGGACGAGTTTTCATTGATTCGATTCCATTCTAGTCCAGTTAGTTGTGTCGAGTTTGATTTGAAGATTGACGAGCAGGAAAGATGAATGCAGGTGGTCACGATGAGCAGCAGGAACAAGAGCAGCAAGAAGGACCTCATCCTTTGGAAGCCGCCGCGATCATGGCGGCTGGAGGCCCGGAAGCCCAGGCGGCTGCATTGGCACGTGCCATTCCAGGGCTTCCAGCCGAGTGGCTGCAACCAGGCCACCAGTTGTCGGCAGAATACGAGCGACATTTGCTCTCGTACCTGATCAACAACATGGCGCATCATGCTCGGTTGGTCATGAATATTACCGAGGAAGAGCGTCAACAGGCACTGGCCATCAAGGCGGCCGTGGTGGCCGAGGAAGATTTGGACGAGATTCCAGATATGCGGTACGCCCAACTGGCCATTATTGATGGCGACGACGTGGAGACGGCTGTGGATCGAGTGCGACACTTTCAACTCTTCAAAGACGAATACCAGTTGGACGATACCGCCGCTCAAGGAAGTCATGTCATGAGAAAGTTCTTCAATCAACACCCAAACACGGTTTTGTCAGTCTCCTACAATGCCATCGACGGAAACTATGTGTACATTTATGATCAAGCCAAGTTCAATCCCAACAATATTCAGACTCCTGACGACTGGAACACCGGTCTTCTGTATTGCTATTACCCATTTCAGGCCATGTCACCGGATCTATTTTCCATTCGGCAAGGATGCGTCTTTGTAGGTGGTAAGTATTGGTTTTTGCAATAGTGAGTCAGCAATGCACTTCATGTCATGAATTAACTTTCTTTTTTATTTCGTCACAGAATGCGATGGCTACGATTGGACCGTCATGAATGTGGATGTGGTTCGCAGACTCTGGGATGAAGTATTCGCTGTCTATCCCATGAAAATTTGTGAACTCAAGTGTTTCAACAGTGGAGTCGTTGCCAACCTACTCTTGTCCATGTTGAAACCGTTCTTCCCAAAAGACCTACAGCGAAAGATCAACCTTGGATGCCAGTTCGAAGGACGGCTGGACACCTTTTATGCGGTTCCCACTTGGGAAGTGGCGGCAGAACGAACCCTCGAGGAGATTTCTTCCTTCCTCCAACGACGATACACCAATGAAGCACAATTTGTTCTCTAGCTAGCTAGTCAGTCCGTCGCCTCAATTCAGGAGAGCTACTGATCAGCTTGCTGACTGGGTAGAACTCTAGCCGGCCGGCATGACAGCCTGAGGACTTCCGAGTTTAGTATAGACTAAACCGAAAGAATGGAAACTTATCTTCTATTAGACCTAAAGATTTGCATGCTGCATTCTGCTATCGAGTGGTCTAGTGGCGTTCAGCTTGGAGCTCTTCCACGATCTCAGCACTTCTGGAGCCGTTGGTAGAATCAGCGGGGGTGATCCCGGCCATTGGAGGACTTGCAGCCGTAGGAGAACGAGCATTCGCACCATCCCCAGTGCGGACGGTAGTTCCAGTACCTGTGCTGCTGGTAGTGGGTGCATGAGCAATTCGAGTTTTGCCCCCTCGCTTTTTGGTTTGGTCTCCCACACCTGCTGCTTCCGCAACTCCTCTCTAACAATTCAGCTATTCCCGCGGCGACAGGTTCTAATGCGCCTCCTCCCGCTGCCATTCGGCTCCCATCATTGCAGATGCTAGCTACTGGCTCTACTAGACTGGCTAGCTCATACGATTCGATTCAGCAAAGAGTTACTGTTTAAGCAAGTTTAACACTTTGAGCCGGAATACCCAAAGACCGTTGGTTTGATCTGTGGTAGCTCTATAGCTCAATTGTTTCGTCTATCTGACTCGACGACTCGACTCATCAGTGCTGGGCTATTTTCTAGACCTAATGTACTCATGAAACTTGGCCTTGTGCCTGCAGGCACCAAAGATTTTGTGGCACCTGTCAATAGGAACCCCGGTGGATTTTATTAAATGGATCTACCTTGAGGGAATGTATAGCAGTTGCTAGTCTCTCTAGCTAGCTAGGAATACTTCCTTTCCCCACCTGCTGTTATCATTCGAAGGCATGAATTGATGAGGAGTTGGCTTTTTTCTCTACAGAATCGGTATTTTTAGCTAAGGGGACGGTACCGAAGGTCTTTTATTAACTGGCCACCAGTACGGCAGCTAACTTCGTACATTATTATTGCTATTATTTGCTGCAAGCCTCTCCACCCACCACCGAACCAGACACCAGCACTCATTTCTTTTGTGTGGTCATGTTGTCCACAGAAGGCAGAGGCCACACCGCATGGTAGCAAGCTCCTGCTCCAGTGTATTGAGTACCGTACCAGTTTGTAGTGTAGTGAATGACTAGATAATCATGTCAACATCCATAACCAACAACAGCGCCTCGGCCAAGAAAGATCCAGAAGCCGGTTCCGATTCGACTGGCCGCCAGTATACGTCGATTGCCGAAATGTGGAATGCCCAGGGCGTGAGTGCTGATACTCCCCGCTCCCATATCCAACAAGTGTGGTACGACAAGGCCGCAGATTGGTACGAAGAGAATTGTCCTGCCACGGTGGATGGTGTATTGGGTGGTTTTGCGTCTATCAGTGAGATTGATTTGAAGGGTTCCTGTGAATTTTTGCATGAATTGCAGAAACAACAACAACCTACATTGGATTGGACCCTGGGGGCTGGTTGTGAATGTGGAGCCGGAATTGGTCGTGTTACCAAGGGTTTGCTACTACAATTGGGAGTGACTCAGGTGGATCTGGTGGAATCCTCGTCTCGGTTATTATGTGAGAGTCCCGAGTATATCGGGGAAGAAGGAGCGGCCAAGTGCAAATTTTATTGCAGTGGTTTGCAAGATTGGACTCCACCATCGGGCCGGTATTATTCCATTATTTGGATTCAATGGGTCTTGATTTATTTGACAGATGACGATGTCATTTGCTTTTTAAAGCGATGTGCTGATGCACTGTTACCAAATGGCAAGGGAGTGATTGTAGTGAAAGAAAATACGACTGCTGATGGGGAAACTTTTGTGGTGGACAATGACGATGCCTCAGTCTGTCGATCGTTGTCGTATTGGTTGAAGCTGATCGAAAAGGCTGGTCTGAAAGTGGTTTACCAAAAGATGCAAACGGACTTTCCCAAGGACATCTTTCCAGTTCCCATGCTGGCATTGACAAAACAATAACAATCATCAACAACAACTACTAGTCTAGCTAGAATCTGACTTAGTTTGTATAAGATTATATTATTTTGTAAAGGAGGTTTTTGAACTCTTTCTAGCTAGCTACTAGTAGTACAGTTGTGGCTGCCACCGTAGCTCAGATTTTTTGGATTTTGCACATTATTATTGCTATTCCAAGCTAGCCCACCTCCCACCAACACAGTATCCAGCACCAGACGGATGAAAGACGATGAGGATGCAAGAAAAGCGCAGTAGCGATGCTCTCTTCACAGACCCAACAAATTTCAACAAAACAGCTTCGTCTGGCAGCACTTAGTGTCCATTACCTGTCTACCACATTCTTGGACGAAGTACTGGATACACCGGGCCTGACCAGGGACTCGAATCTCTATCAAATTGAAAACTTGGATCGGGAAGAACCAGGAGTGATTCGCCGCAAGGGGGTAGACGTAGTTTGTCCCATAGATGGCAAACAAGGCGCTGCGTATGTTCACTGTGTCGGTGGAGAGGATACTGTTGGAACTGCCAAAATAATGCTGAGTTACACTTGGGCGTAAGTTTTTGTTTTGTTTGAAAGATCCAATGCATCTATTGTTATGATGGCACTAACGACTTGTTTCCAATCTCTTCGCCCAATTGATACCGTAGATACTCGATAGGAGACATCATAGATACCTTGGTTGATTTCTGTGATTCCAGCGGTCGAGATCCAAAGAGGACCTATGTTTGGATCTGCTGCCTGTCCATCAACCAACATCGGGTGTGGGAGCAGAAACAGAGTAAGCGATCCGGCATGGCGACTGCCTCCAGTCAAGTGGACTTTTTTACTGAGTTTGGAAGTCGTGTCGTATCCATTGGCCACGTCTTGTGTATGATGGTTCCCTGGAACAATCCAATCTACTTGAAGCGTATCTGGTCTGTGTTTGAACTCTTTCAAGCCAACAAACACAAATGTGAAACCACAATCGTCATGCCACCGGCAGAGAAAGCAGCATTTGAGCAGGAATTGTTTGGAGAAAATGGGAACGGAATCGACTCGCTTTATGATGCTCTGTCCCATACCAAAATTGAACAAGCTCAAGCCTCTGTGGAAGCAGACAGGGTGGCGATACTGGAAATGGTACGGAAGGATCCGGGCTATGCTGCATTGAACCACAAGGTGAATGATTTACTTCGAAACTGGGTTCGTGATGTGATCTCTAGTCTAACTAAGGGCGTCGATATTACATCTGTTGAGGACTCGATCGTCCTTGCCCGAAAATGCAACAAGGCTGGAGAAGTGCTCAACCAGTACGGTCATCACCAAGCTGCTATGGAAGAGCACCAGGCGGCATTGGCCATGCTAGAACCTCTAGTCGGCAAACAGCATCAAGACATTGCCATTTCATATCATGGCATTGGCCGTTCTCTGTTGGAGACAGGCGAGTACTGGGAAGCAGAAACGATCTTTCACCGTGCACTATCCATTCAAGAATCCATACTGGGTACGGGTCATTTTGACTGCGCCAAAACACGGCAAGATATTGGTAGGGTGTATAAGAAGCAAGGAAAATATGGTGAGGCCTTGGTAGAACTAAGAAATGCTCTCGCTATACACGAAGAGCTGACAGGGGAAGCAACTCTCGAAAGAGCAACTGTACTAGGCCAAATTGGGTACGTTTTGCACGACAAAGGCGATTACGACGGAGCTCTTGTTGAGTACAAGAAATCTCTTGCAATTTGCAAAGAGGTCGGGGGCCAACATCATCCCGAATGTGCCCGGTGCCATCATAGTCTCGGTGATGTCTACCAGAGCAAGGGGTCGTTTGATTCAGCCCTTTCGGAATATCGGGAGGCGCTCTCCATTCGGCAAGTCATATTTGGTTCCGAGCACGACGCAGTTTCGAGCACTCTAAACTCTGTCGCAGGTGCTCTCCAAAACAAGGGTGACTTTGATGAGGCACTGAAAACCTACAAAAATGCGTTGCTGATCCGCGAAAAGGCCCTGGGAGAGCATCACCCGGATACCGCAAAGCTCCATCACAACATAGGGGCTATGCTCCACAAAAAAGGATTGCACCAGGAAGCTCTGAAGGAATACAAACGTGCGCTAGCTGTGAAGAAAGAATTCTATGGCGGCTGCCATCCTGAAGTTGCTAATTCCATCAACAGCATTGGTGTGGCGTTGCAAGACCAGCAAGACTTCACAGGAGCTTTACAGGAGTATCGTAAAGCCCTCTCCATCCGAGAAAAGATCCTCGGAACTTCGCACCCAAGCACGGCGGGTTCCTATCAGAACATTGGAGTAGTCCTGTACATCAAAGGCAACTTTGATGGCGCGCTTGCTGAGTATAGAAAGGCACTTGCGATTCGAGAATCGATCCTTGGCCCATCCCACCCGGACACCGTTTCTCTTTACGTCAACTTGGGCGCTCTAGGGAAACAAAGAGGTAATTTGGATGAAGCTATGACATACTACGAGAAAGCTCTACAGGCGAGTGAATCCATCTCAGATCCTGATACTGCCAAATTGTATAAGAACCTTGGAGTGCTACACAAAGAAAAGGGCGACCTTGACACTGCCCTGATGAAATTGCGCAAAGCACTCGCTTTGTTCCAAAATGCTTACGGAGAAGAGAATCCTGACACAGCCATGGCGCACTACTTGATTGCGTCGGCGCTTGAACAGAGGAATGATCTCCAAGGAGCCATGATAGAGTTCGAGCATGCATTACTGATTCGCGTACGAATTCTAGGCAGAAACAACCCGCTCACGTTGGATACGCGACGGCAAATCAATGACCTGCGGCTGCGCCTCCCAGGGTGATCACATGAACGGTATAACACGCGATTGCCATCGGTCGACAACAAAACAAGCACGGGGGTGGGGTTTGGGAGAAAGACAATGCTGGAATTCTGATTCAATTGTTGGGACACCCTATGTAAGGCAAGCATCAAGTGCTTGAACTGTATCAAGGGAGCAGTGGTTCTCTTCCTGGACTTTGGTGGTCCACGATCCGCGATTTCCACGATCGCAAAAGTTCTTTCCACGACACGCCGACCAAGGCAATCTCGTGGAACCCCAGCATTCCTTCGGCAGTACCGCTAGCTAGCAAGACAACTATCGAAAGGAGATGATACGCGGCGTAGAAATGCAGGACTGACCGACTTCATGTTGAGGTGACTTGTGATGGAGGCGATGAACGTGATATCTCGGTCCACAGAGTTCAACCTGGCGTTGTCGGTTTTCCTGTTGTCAAGCTTCCATTCCAGCAATTGAGACATCGAAGCTTGGAACTGCGAGGCGAGAAGATCTAGCTACCGGTACCGAGGTTGAAATTAGTCTACAGTACTGCACTATTGGTACTTGCACTACTGGAGTACTGAGTACTGTAGTTTTGTTGGGTAGGGTGATTTGTCCCTCACAAATTTTCACTTAGGCTAAGTGTTCCTAAATCCACTTAGGCTAAGTGAATTTACGTGAATCACTTAGACTAAGTGTTCTACTTAGCCTTTAGAAGCAAAACACTTTGGCTAAGCGATACACTTAGGCTAAGTGGTGCTCTCCGAGACATCATCTTCTCAACAGCACAAGTCCCTGCAGCTTGTTGTATACACAAACTCTCTATTACTGCTGATCCTCATTCGCAATAGTAACAATATTGCCAGCAAGTGCTTTGGGGCTGTGCAATGAGGGAATGATGGCCACACCAAAGGCACAACTAACGACCAACAACTCTCAGATGGTAGGAAAATACACTGAACATTTATTTGGAAACATCGGGAACATCCAAAATTTTGCAAGAAAGCAACATCATGTGTACACCGGAATAGTACTCACAACTCCTGAGGAGTATTTTTATACTTTCGGACTTCCACCCTGGAACCGTAATAATTCCCAATCGTACAGAGTCTCCCTTGGCACTTTTTATTGTTGCGTATTTACATTAGCCAAGGGTGAAAGCCAGATTAAGCCAGCGGAGCTGTGTAACCTCGGCAGAAAGGTTTCAGTGTAGAAGCAGATACCCCTATTAGCTAGCTAGCTAGAAGCAGATACCTGTAGTGCTTAGCTAGCTAGTGCTTAACTTGCGCATAGCTAGCTAGAAGCAGATCCCCTAGCTAGAAGCAGATTCCCATCGCAAGCTAGAAGCAGATACCCAAGCTAGGTAGAATACTAGTTATACAGCTTTTGCTAGCTTTATAGTTTTTCCTGGTAGAAGCAGATCCCCCTACTAGAATGCATGTAAATAGCTTTAGCTGGTTTAAAGCACCATCCTAGGATACTTATTTAGTTTTTGCTGACTTATTTGTATTTTAACCCTACCCTTATACCTGCAGGGACCACCGTAGCAGGAAAAACAATTAAAGGGGTTGAGGGCTCTGGCAGCAAGACTGCCGAGGTTAATAGTATGCTGCCATGTATGGATGATACCATCCTCCAGGGAAGTCGCAACCTGGATCTAAATCTCAGTCTCAGCCCAATTGAACTCTTTCTTGTGAAGTTCCTTGAGCAGTTTGCAGGAAGCCTTGCATAAGGCGGAGGATATGGTGGGTGATGGTTGTATTGGAACTTGTGTGTTTGCGCTTTGTTTACAGCAAGCTGCAGGGACTTGTGCTGAACTTGTGCTGTTGAGAAGATGCCTTGGAGAGCATCACTTAGCCTAAGTGTTTCGCTTAGCCTTTACTACGTGAGTTGCTTTGTATGGCTTAGCCTAAGTGTATTGCTTAGCCTAAGTGTAGGCTAAGTAAAACACTTAGCCTAAGTGGATTTTCGAGCACTTAGCGACTTTATGGGGGGGTTAGGCATGAGCGCGGGGGAGGGAAAAAGAAGAAGAAGAGGGAGAGGGTTAACCTTTGGATTCCGAATTCTGATTTTGAGAGCATGCAGGGCATGATCCAGTCTTCCAACGACACGAAAAGACATGACGACACCAACTACATACAATAAAGAGGGGGAAAAGGCAATGACCTTACGAAAAGAGTCATGGCCCCTGTCTGAGGAACACGGAATATGTCAGCAAATACGTCACATCTATCGTTTGTCTCACATTGCTTCGGTATTTGAATCTATTCAACGGCTACCGCTGGCTCGCTCTTTCTCTCTTTTCTGTTTCCTTGGCTCGAAACAAACCCTCCCATTTATTTTGAAAATCAGCCACCGAAACAACCACAAAACTCCACCACGTACTGGACAAGGTAAGAATGCTGCTGCTGTTGTTGTTGTTGTTGTTGTTGTTGTCGTTGTTATCCACAATCATGGCGACAATGGCATGCTACTAATCCTTCTATCCTTCCACTACCGACGCTCCTTCCACTACCGATGCTCCTTCCTCTACCGACGCTGCTTCTTCCTCTACCGACGCTGCTTCTTCCTCTACCGATACCAATACCGACCGACGACCACCACTACTGCTGCGCTATTTTGCCTTGAATTCCTTCCTCTACCGATACAACAACAACTACTACTACTTGCTGGACTACTTTGTCTTGAAGTCAGCGCCTACGTGGGTAGGGGCAAGACTCTTGGCAACAACAACAACAACTACTTCCTCCTTCCTCTACCGACGGTCTT